TTGCGGCAAGCAATAGCCACACGGTGCGTGTGGCACCTGCTATGCCCTTCTCGCAACAAGTCGGGAATGACCATCGAGAATGGCCTTCTGATGCTCACGCAGGGTCAGCGTGGCCAGTCAGTAGGATGGAAAGCATGTCCAGGTCATCACGCTCCTGTCACGCAGTTGAACCTGGCAGGACCGAAGCAGAACATGGATAAAAGCTGCTGCTATCTGACTGACGAATCGAGGGCTCTCCATGACTCTCCCCTATCCGCCCTCCGCAATGGCGGGGGCACCCTTCCTGCGCGTACGGTCTTTTGCACCTGCGTGAAAGCAGGCGTTCCGTCAGGTCGGTGCCAGCAGCAGGGAGTGCCTGGGGCAGAATTGAGTTGTACAGTCCATCTACCCTCAAACCGAGCTCGCGCCTCCGGCGGCACCTCATTCACAGCTGCGAGAAGCTGGAAGGCCGAAGCCGTGCGGCCTGCGCAGTGTCGCTTTGCTGCTCAGGTTTCTTCTATATTCTTACAGTTCAGGCTGGTGCAGCTGCCAGTCTCGTAGAACCTTCTAAATTCCAAACGTGCCAACTCTGATAAGAACTGCTCCGGCTCTACTCGTTCTGAGCCTCACAATGCACTGAGCATGAAACTTTGCCATGCATGGAAGCTCACAGGACAACACAGATCGAATTGCTCTTCAAAGGACTTGATTGAGGCTTACGTTGCCTAATTTGCACTTGTTTGCGTTTGTCGCTGTCGAGTCTAGCGTACCAACCGACTGCTGGCAGGGTCTGCTGCTACATTGCTGTAGTGTTGGCTGATTCAAACAAACTGTGGAAGTGGGCAAGCTGCGACAGGTGCGGAATGCGACTTCCCGGCATCAAGGCTGACAAGAACCACGAGGTTGAATGCGCTCACGCCCTCTAGGTTGCCGCAATCCAGGACCCTGCCCACGACACGCCTGGGCATTCCTTGTTAGCTTTCTGAGCCATCTGCCATGTCCCGCATCGTGCGACATCAACCCAATTTTAATAGCCCAGCCTTAGCTCCGCCCTTTCCCCCTCCTCCCCCCACGGTCTCTCTGCTGCCTCGCGTGACCTTCTTTGCTCTGCTTGGGTTCTTTCGGGTCCTGATGTCTATGGCAATGGCTTCCACTTCGCCCCTCTCCTCCCATCCCCGAGTTCCTCGAGAGATGTGGTCAATTTCTGGAATCCCTCCCCAGACACCCAGTATTGTTCGAGAGATTCGAGAGGAAGAGCATTGGAAAAACAAGCATGATGACCAAACAAAATATCGGCATTGCCATGGGCGCAACTTCTACACACCGAGAGTCAACTGGCCAAGAAGGCGTCAACATCCACGTGCAGGGTGGACCTTTTTGTCTCTCGCAGGTCTGCCAGGCCTGGGAATCTTCAGATCTGCCCGACACTGCATCTCAGCAGGAGACCGCACGAAACGGTTTTGTGCGAATTCCGAGGTGCATGGCATTTGCAAACGAAGAAATTCACATCCAGGCAGTGCCAGCCTGCGGCAGGCAATGATGCACTGCGAGTCCTGGGCCTGCAGGAATCTTCGCGTGGCTGCGCAGC